CAATCAGAGGGAGAAGTGGATTAAACTAGGATATATCTGGATTTTGTCAAGAAGCCACAATTAATGCAAGCAATTTTTTAAAAGACTGTATTATTTGAGGGGGGCGAGTTAAGTAAATATATTTATGGTGGTGCTGGCCTCATTCTACCCAGTGAAGCATGAATGCAGGTCAAATCTGCAAAAGCAAGGAGCTACCAATATGGTTCTCTTATTTTATGGTTGAATAGGAGAAAGTCACATAACAAACAATAATGTACTTTCAAAGCATTCAATAAAGATTTTATCTCAGGTTTTGTGAAGATTATTTCTAAAGTCATGAGTAACCACAGCCCAGCACATTAAAAAAAATGTTATTGGTACATTAGATAACGTGTTATAAAAGACTAGTCATCCACCTCTCTGTTCCAGGCCTTTACTATTTAGGTTGCTGCAAAATATTTCAGATATACATTTCTAGGAAAGGCATTTTTTCAGTTTTATATAAAATAGGCCAAAATCATGATGGCAGTCCCTATATATTTGCTGCATACTATTCACAAAGAGGATGGATAGTGCTTTGTAACTAACGAGACTAGAAGCTTCCTGTTCCCATACCTATTTATAATTAGTCATTTTAAAAGGTATGGCAGTCAACCAAAAGAAAATGCTCCCTGCCATAGGCAGGATTTTATGTGCCAAAGTTGCTGTCCAACAGAAAGAAACCAACCATAGCACAACAGTTACTGTTATCTCCCTTGTCTTAACATGGGAAGATGCAGCAAAAAGGTTGCACCTTCCAGAACTGTGATTTGAGATCCACTTTGCAAACGACGAAGTTCATGCACAGGTGTGACTTAGGCACTTGTGGCTTCTTGTTGTGTGTACATAATGGCAAAACAGGCACGCATATATCACAAACAGCAGTTTATACATGTGGCACATGCACTTTCCTACACAGAAGGTATGTCTCTCAAGGAAAAGTGCCACACATGATGCATGTATGAAGCGGGGAAGAAATGTGAAATAGAGAATGCTTTGGAGGCAATGAAGATGGGCTGATGGGCTAGGAAGAGATAAAACGTACTATAGGAGCTGGATTGTGTCATATAGACCTTTTAAAGGTTACTAGCTTCATAGGAGACATTTCCCCATGACTTAGAGCAGGCACATCCAACTCTATAGAGACTGTGATCTACTCCAAGTATAATAAAACTGGCATTGTCATTGCAAGAGTTGTTGAGCTTTTCTTGGGAAGGAGTGCCCAGAGATGTTGAGCTTTTTTGGAGGACACAGTGGGGCGCGGCGCAAATGATAAGAAGCATACAGGCGACCTCTTTTTTTAATCACACGATCAACCAGGAGAACCACAGCAATCTACCTGTCGATCGCGGTCGGCAAGTTGGACAATTCTGACTTAGAGTCATAGAATTGTAGATTTGCAAGGGACCTTGAGGACCATCTAGTCTTGTTTCCACAAGGCTAAAGTTAATGTTCAAATGGCATAACCACATAGGTAGGTTGATCAGTGGGCTATATACCATGGAGGGGTGGGGGATTTTGTGAATGAAGCCTAAGTGATCAGCCACTGTCTCCACCCACATGTTTGGGTCATTTAAAAGTTATTCTAGCCATGAAAGAGCTGCTCATTGAAAAGCCGCTCCAATGCAGATCCATAAACAGCAGATCATTTCAAGGACCCAAAAGACCAGTCAAGAAATAAACAAGGTCTCATAAGACAAGTTGAAAAACTAAGAGATACAGGAGAGGATAGACAGGGGAAACTCTGCAGTTTCAGTAAGGTAGCAGAGGGAATGAGGACACTGAACTATATATAGATCTATACAGAGTGCCTCTGTCTGGGATCAGCTTGCTCTGTTTGCCTGAGAGGCTATGGGATAGCAATGCAAATAATTAAATTTTAAAATGTAAGGGGAAAGCAAAGTAAAGCATTCTCCTCAAATAGCTGCCAGATTGTTATTATTTTTAAAAAAGAAAACACCACTACTCACATACACTGTCAATAATTTAAGATCGAATCAGGTATTTTTCTTTTCTTACCTCTGGACAACAGAATCTCTATTAAATCAACAAATAAATGTAACAGGAAAAAAATACATAACTTTATCTCTGCCTATACTAACTTCACAACTAGGCTACTTTATAATGGGTATCTTTATGGAAAATAAAGGGCTTGTTTGGGCTGATTTATTAATCTTTTAGATCCGGTATTAATGGTGGAATAAAATGATTACGGCTATTATTACTGTGTGTCAATCTGCTAAAGCATTATACCCCAAGCTACTTGAGCCATTGTCGTAAAACTTCCATTATGCTAGGACTATATTAGCTACAATTCAGCAGAGAAAATGTGTTCAGTTTTTAGCAAACAACATAAATTACTTTAAAATATATTGAAAACATGACACCACCTTGAAGCTTAGTGTTATATTCCTCCCATCCTTCATAATTAATTATAGAAGGGATAAAATTCACCCATATGTGTTGGTTTTATTTACGCTTACATTTATCTCACTACCATGTCTGCTCACTCCTCCTAATTTCAACATCAATCTGAACCTTTAAGTTGTGAGGCAGGGGATGGACAGACGGACACATGACTTGTCATGGATAAATACTTCCTGTTGAGTGGTGAGACGAAGGAGTGAAATGCAAACATGAAACACAGCTGTTACGTCTACAAACAAAAAAACCTGTGCCCAATAGAAATAATGGCTCATGGAGGATGGGAAATGAAAGTGAACTAGTTCTTGAGGCAACCAGCTAGCGACCACATAAAATTAGCTTTCTGTCCACTTCCATTCTCGGCATCTCTGGGGACCATTTGAGGGATGCTCTACTTGGAAAGCAGGATGTATAACTATATGGAACTTTGATCTGATGGCTGAATAGCAAGGTTACAGCAATCATACTTCTGTGGCTAGTTTCACATGCCCATGTTTGGCAAATGGCAAATGGCTATATCACAAATCTCTTGGAAAGAAGAGATGCATAGGGTTCTGCCACTGGGCATACCAGAGCCCTTAGGATCATCTAAAGTTGCTGGTTAAAATATTTATAGGTGTTTAGTTAATTTCAGTTTTTAGCTGATTATAATGAATTTTGCATTTTTAATAAGTTGTTATTTAGCTGCCTTGGGAGGATTTGCACTGAAAGGCGGCATCTAAATACTGAAAAAAATAAACAATAGAGTGTGACCATTCTTGCTAGTTGAAACATTTTGGGGAAATAGTTCCAGACTAGGAACAGGGCTCTTGCTGTTATAAATGGTCTGAAAAGGATAGTGAGATACTGAGCATCAGATGCCTTAGAATGCGGCAAATACCACTGCTTATTCAGGGTCCCAGTCAAATTATGCCCAAAAAATTCAGCACCACAGTCCTTTGCAACTCATTTACCATCTGACTGAGACAGTTCTGATTAGAAATCCTATCAGTCTGCAAGATAAAATTGGCTTGAGCTCCACCACATATTAGCCTTTTAGCTTTAATGAATAATTAAACAAGCATAATAGAAAGGTCTGAAAATTAAAAATACATAACTGTCATTTTTCATGGTATCCCTGTAATTTCTGGTTAACAAACCTCCCGTTTTAAAAATGATGGTGGCTCATGCTGAACTATTTTGAGCAGAGAGCAAATTCTTCCCCTCCCACAGGTCTATTCCTGTTCCCTCCATCCTATCTGAGCATAATTACACATAACAAGAAAGGATTAAAAAAAAAAACAACCCTAGAAACTCCCTTTAAAAATCTCTACAAGTGCTCTAAGAAGCTTCAAATTAAAGAGAACAAAGGCTAGGAATGTCACCTGGCTGAGGAGGGATGTTGCTGTTGGATCGCGTTAGGGTGGTTGAGCTGTCAGAATAAGATAAATGAAGCTCAGTTGTACCATTAACCTGTGACATTTCTGACAGTGCAAGACTATGTACTGTGAGAAAAGTAGAATATTTATTCCTTGACTTTGCTCTCGCGCATTTTGAAATAGTACATAGGAAAGATAGACAGAACGGATGAAAGACAAAGAAGAGATGGGTGCATCCAACTCAAAACGTATCAAGATAGACATTTTCCATTATTACATGCAAAAAGAAGCCTGCAGACAGTAAATTGTAGTGAAATTTAGTACCAAGCCCCCCACCAAACACTATGAAAAGGTGCCTAATTCAACTGTCAAAAATCCGGACATTTCAAAAGCTAAAATTACAATTCCCACTATTGACAATTTAATCCCCCCCCCCTTTGACAGGTTAGCTTTAAGAAACGAGCAAGAAGCAGAACAAACCATTATATAATTATTGTTGTTGCTTTTATATTTGATGCATTTTTATTTCTGGGCTTCAGTTTTCAATGAGGATAACATTGATATAACAAGCATATGGGACCATTATGACATGCTTTATTTTTCAAAGCAAATTATTGATGGTCAATACACGATTTGTGTTGCAGCAAAAGTCATAGTGGATAATGTCTCAGGCAATCATTGCCTGGCATGCAAAACCTGACACTTTGATGGAAGCTGTCGCCAAATACAGTCTGTGACTGATTCTCTTTCTGCACACTTTGCCAGTTTGAGGAATATATTCCTCTAGAAGTCTGCTGATCATTGTGCTGGGAAGCAGGTATTCCAAAGACACCCAGCTGGAGCCAGCAGAGACGTGGTGATTGGGGAGGAACCTTGTTACTGCAAAAGCACTGGAACCCAGATGGGGACTATTCCATCCATTATCATGCTTCTGTACACTGATTGACTATCAGAGTGCGCAGGCTGCAAAAGAATGGGAGGCTGAAAAGTGGGCGTGTAATCCGTGTTTTCGTTTTCGACTACCAGTTATTCTGTGACAAGAGGCTTGTGGCATTTCAATATATTAGATGTCAATTTAGAAATATTAGATGCAAGAAGTTCTGGAACATGCATAGTGAAGCTAATTCACTTCCTTTTTAACCCTGTTGCCAAAGGTCAAACCCATACGTGCATCATCTCTTAAGGTTGCCAACTAGCGTGAGGGCGTGGGAAGCTCAGTGGTAGTGCATCTGCCTTGCCTTCAGAAGGTTCCGGGTTCGAATCCCAACCCCTCTGAGTAGGGCAGTACTGGGTAGACAATACAGTGGTGCCCCGCAAGACGAATGCCTCGCAAGACGGAAAAACCGCTAGACGAAAGGGTTTTCCGTTTTGAAGTTGCTTCGCAGGACGAATTCCCCTATGGGCTTGCTTCACAAGACGAAAATACCTTGCGAGTCTTGAGATTTTTTTTTCGCTTTCCCCCCCCTTTATCTAATCTGCTAAGCCTTTAATAGCCTTTAATATCCTTTTAGCATCTAATACACTAAGCCTATAAGCCTTTAATAGCCGATAAACCGCTAATAGCGCTAATAGCGCTAATCCGTCAATGGGCTTGCTTCGCAAGACGAAAAAACCGCTAGACGAAGACTCTCGCGGAACGGATTAATTTCGTCTTGCGAGGCACCACTGTACTGAGCTAGAGGGACCAATGGTCTGACTCAGTATAATGCAGCTTCCTATAATGCAGGTCTAGTTCAAAGTGGCCAGGTTGAGGGGTTAAACTATGCTGCATGCATAGTTGAACAAAGCTGTCTTATTTTACAGCAATAAGAGATATAGCATTAAGATTCTCTTACTGCTTTGACCAATACCATAATCGTGCATTGTGCAATGTTTGTATGTTTGTTTCCTGGCAACTGGTCACTTTGGAATCTTCGGTTCCTTTCAGAGGGCAAAGGTGGCAAATATTGTGCTTGCAAAATCTTTTTTGCCTATCAGTGTCTACACATAATTCAGACATCTGCACAAGATGCCTTTAAATTAATATGAATTATTTGGGGGTTCCCAGATAAAGCATGAAAACTCATCTTAGGTTTTGTTGCTTTCTGGATCTCCACATGTTAAAACTCCACACACACCCCCACGAACATAAACTTTTTCTTTTCTTTTTTATCGTCATAACCCGGATTACAGCCGGGAGCATATAGTCAGACACTTTTTTATTTAAAAGCATTTCTATCCTGCTTATTTAAAAATCTCAAAGCAGTAAACAAAAAAGAAAATATCGGAACAATAAAACAATGTTATGAAAAGAGATAAAAAGAAATTCAGTAGTTAAGTGTCCAATCTTACGGGTCAGGGAGAGCCTGGGCAAAAAGATATGTCTTTATAAGCCATCTGAAGCAACTGATGGATGATGCTTCACTGATGGCAGAGGGAAGGGCATTCTAAAGCAGAGAGGCCATGTGAAGAGCTGAGTAGAGAAAAGACATTGTACATTCACAGATCTCTCTTTCCCTCCCACATTCATTACTTGGGACGTCCATCATCTTATATAGAATATTTATATCCATCCATTCTTCCAAGGGGCTCAATGCAGAGTACACAGGTTTATCCCATTTCATCCTCAAACAGATTAGGGTGGGAGCGTGTGACTGATCCAAAGTTATCCCAGTGGAGTTCATGGATTTCAATCTATGCCTCTCAGCTCCAAAAGCAGCTCACTTATACGTTGTACCACATTGGCTCGCATCACTATGAACAGCGGAATCCTGTTCTGATCTGCTTCTGGCTGATTCCCGAGAGGCATGGGAGCAGGCAAGCTATGGTAAGAATGAAATGCTCCCACATAAGTGAGCCTTATGTGGGACTGGTCACTTGAGAGAGAACAGAATGGGAATGAGTGTGGCTGGTTACCTGGGAGATGGGAGAGAATGCCAGGAGAGGGAGCTATGTCATTTGGAATGGACAGCTGGCAGGGAGGGAGGGGAAGAAATGAGGTTTAGGGAAATGGAAGCTGTGCAGTTCATATCACTTTCATCATATGAGTCATTTATCTCTCTGTTGCTATTATTTTTCATAAAGAATATAATATTCTCATCCCATTATCTATAAAATAAATCCTACTCCTGTTTTTGAGAAAGGTGCAGGAGTGTACTGTTCCCAGTACATGTATTAGTAAAGTTCTATATTAGTAGCAGAGTTGGCAGGGTTTTAAAAATTATTAATTTTTACATAGGCAAAGTTAGTAGCACAGGAAGCTGCCTATGTGAGACCGCTGGTCCATTTAGCTCAGTACAGTGGTACCTTGGGTTACATACGCTTCAGGTTACATACACTTCAGGTTACAGACTCCGCTAACCCAGAAATAATACCTCGGGTTAAGAACTTCGCTTCAGGATGAGAACAGAAATCACACAACAACGGCGCGGCAGCAGCGGGAGGCCCCATTAGCTAAAGTGGTGCTTCAGGTTAAGAACAGTTTCAGGTTAAGAACGGACACCCGGAACGAATTAAGTACGTAACCAGAGGTACCACTGTACTGTATATAATGGCAGTGGCTCTACAGGATTCCAGGCAGGAGTCTTCCCCAGCCTTACCAGGAAATTCTGGGGATTGAATCTGGGGTCCTCGGTGTGCAAAACAGTTGTTCTGTCAGTAAGCTACACCCTACAACAGGCTTCCTCAAACTCAGCCCTCCAGATGTTTTTGGACTACAACTCCCATGATCCCTAGCTAGCAGGACCAGTGGTCAGGGATGATGGGAATTGTAGTCTCAAAACATCTGAAGGGCCGAGTTTGAGGAAACCTGCTCTACAAACTGGCAAGGCAAACTGGTGGTTATAGCACCATGGACCATGGACACACCCAGTGTGCCAGCCCCTCCTCGGATCTGCAGCTGCTGTTGCTGAATGCCAGCTCAGCTTTGAGTAAGACTTCCCTCATCCATAATCCAATTCAAAGTGATGGTTTTTACCTATAAAGCCTTAAATGCCTCAGGAACACAATATCTCAAGGACCGCCTTTCCCCATATGAACCAGTCTGGACCCTAAAATCATCATCTGAGGCCCTTTTTCATGTGCCTCCTCCACCAGAGGTCTGGAGAGCGGCAACATGAGAACCAGCCTTTTCTGCAGTGGCTCCCCATTTGTGGAAAGCTCTCCCCATGGAAGCTCACCTGGCTCCTTCATTACATATATTCAGGTGCCAAGCAAAACCCTTTTTCTGTAACCAGGCCTCTGGCTGATTAACAGTATATGGCCTTTAAAATGTCTTTGTCAGAGGGGGTTATTGGTTTGTTTTTATTTTCCTCTGTATTTTGCATTCTTATTTGGCATTTTTATGTTGTGAACTGCCCTGTGAACTTCAGAAGAAGGGTGATATACAAATGTATATTATTATTATTATTATTATTATTATTATTATACAATTTGGCTGCCATGCTCTATCAGGCAGGCATGTTAATATGGGAGGCACTCAATTCCTTGGGCTCAGCAGAAAGCTCTTGTGATGCTCTGACTCTGGTTCTACTAGCTCTGGGGCTTCTGCCTATCAACTTCAAACCCAGGGAGCTTCCAATCACCAGATTCAGTGTAAGGAGATCAGTCCAGTTCCTCAGCCATCGGTGCAGCAGCTTCAGACTGGGACAGAGCATCCTTCTCCAAGACTGAAGCAAGTCCCATATACAAATCACAGACAAGTAACTAACATGTAAGCCTTCAAGATGAAATGAGATGCAAATGAATATAGCTATTATTGTTTAAATCGAAACACTTAATCTTCACTGCATTTATTGGCAGGTGCGTGATATATCCATTTGCTTCTATGCAGGAATTTTTAAGTGAGAAAATACTAGCATGTTGAATTTGTGCCAAAGAAAAAAGAGAGCAGTAATCCTAACTATCAGTATTTTGCCATTATTTATAATAAGGGTAGGAGCTTCATCTACTCATAGAAATTTTAAAATATTAAGGGGTTTAGAAATGTCCTTAAATTAAATATATCTATCCATCTATCTATCTATATCTATCTATCTATCTATCTATCTACCAGGAGTCAGTGCTTTTATATAAATCTCACTATATTAACAATGTCAGTCGATGACAAGATAAAAGTATCAACAGTAAACAAAATGACGTCAAAATAAGTCTAAGGGTGTTCATTATGTTGTCAAAACAAAATTAAGTGTAAGGATACTCCTGATAAATTGCTTAGACAAGGCGATTTCATAACAAAGTGGCGTTGAGGGAGGGGAATAGCATCAGGTAATCAGAGAGTAAGTGGTGTTGCTAAATTCTCACTTAGCCTAAGTCTGCACTTTCTTCGTCATTGCTTGAAAAAATAGTATCCTAGTTGACCATAAGGCCAAATGTTGTGGTCAAGCTCAATAACACTAGCAATCTTGTGCCATCAGTACGCACTTACAACACCTGTGGTAGAAAATAGCAGTACTGCCTGGCTGAGAGTCACTATCTAGCAAAAGTATAAACTTTAATTAAAATCTCGAGTTAATTAAATAACTAACAATTTACTGCCCTATAGGCATCCCTGGGAGAAAAGTAATGACAAACCTAGATAGCATCTTAAAAAGCAGAGACATCACCTTGCCAACAAAGGTCCATATAGTAAAAGCTATGGTTTTCCCAGTAGTGATGTATGGAAGTGAGAGCTGGACCATAAAGAAGGCTGATTGCCGAAGAATTGATGCTTTTGAATTATGGTGCTGGAGGAGACTCTTGAGAGTCCCATGGACTGCAAGAAGATCAGACCTATCCATTCAGAAGGAAATCAGCCCTGAGTGCTCACTGGAAGGACAGATCGTGAAGCTGAGGCTCCAATACTTTGGCCACCTCATGAGAAGAGAAGACTCCCTGGAAAAGACCCTGATGTTGGGAAAGGAGAAGGGGACGACAGAGGACGAGATGGTTGGATAGTGTTCTTGAAGCTACCAGCATGAGTTTGACCAAACTGTGGGAGGCAGTTGAAGACAGAAGTGCCTGGCGTGCTCTGGTCCATGGGGTCACGAAGAGTCGGACACAACCAAACGACTAAACAACAACAACATAAGCATCCCAACTGATTTTGAGTTAGATGAGACTGGACAAAGTTTGTGGGGCACCCTGACCACAAAAATGAAGGGCTGCTGGCTCCAAATGGACAGAGACTGGTCACAACTGCTCTGGCTGTGTATTTGTAGGAACATTTGTATTTCTATCCAGTTTTGTTTACATTGGAATTGCTCTTCTTGTATAACATGTTTTCAGCTTGCTCTTAAAAGAGTGAGATTAAAAGCATT